CAAAATACGGAATACTTCTTTATCCTCAAAAAATGACGGGAATCCTAAAAGCGACACAGACAAGAAGTATTTTGTTCAAGCAATAATTGAGAGATGAAACTATACTTTCTGGTGAACAGAACACCAGTGGGAACAATCGAATATATTTAACACAAAATTACAGGACTTGTTAATAAAATCTAACAATCAAATTGTAAATACGTAATTTGCAAAATGTCCATCAATTGTCTCATAATGACTCAGATTTCATTGTTCTTGCATTTTCATACAATTCTCATTCTGTTTCCATTCTTTACTGTTCGATCCTCTTGTCTCTCTGATGCCAGACATTCTGTCCACGACTAACATCATCTACTACTCATGTCAATATAAGTAGCGCAAAGCACAACTTAGATTAACATATATGAGTTAATGCAGATGAACATGGTAACACTTTTTAACAGCCAGTTATCAAACTTATTCGGTAGATAGATTTAGTTACATCTAGAATAAACTAGATGTTATTGAAAATGAACGCTGAGGAATTAACATTTTTGAAAATTGTATTTGACGTGGTACATATTTGTGTTTCGGAATTGTGGTCGTCAACGCATCAGTCTCTGAGGTCATTTATTTAACACAATGAACAACCTAATCGGTGATAACATTGGAATTGAACATCCTAAAACCAATCGTTATGGGCACTTAGATGAGTGATAGGCACCTTTCTTCTAATAAATGTGTGGTCTAGGAACTCATACAGATATTATTAAAGAGAAATGGGATGTTCCTTACTCCATAGATTCATTACTTAATATTTGGTGATCAATTGAGTTGTTAATATATAACGGTGAACTATTTTGAATAATTGCACCATAGACTACTCATGATGTTTTCATTCTTTTGGAGTTCAGAACATGGTAGATTTCGTAAATCGAAATACACCAAAATATATTTATTCATAGTGGCTGAAATTAGATGTACATCAGATACACCTTTCAGTCCAGTGTTAAAGTAAAGTTTGAATTGTAAAATCACCTGCACTGATTATTTTAGTGTCAAACCAGCCTACTACCATTTCGGAACTGTAACCCTTACATCACTGGGCAATTTAAACTCACAATATACTTCAGTGAGCGAAGAAACTAAGCAAACTCCAATCAAACTCCATCATGAATTCAGCAAACTATGGTGGTACTTATTCACTGTTCACTGTTACCTCGAAAAATATTTCTAGTTATACATCACAAATTTGTCTAAAATTTGCTGATTTCACACCTGATTCATTCTTTAATATGCTTACCCTGATATACTTCGATATATAAAAACACGTCTTGTACACCAGATTGTTTCTGTCACTGATTTTCTGTACTCACTTCTGAGGATATAAGTGATGAATGAATGGAACCGTCATAATGAAAAAATAATCGTGTTTGTAGTTGAACAAACAAATACTATCAACGTTAAGTCGAACAGTTAACAACTAGTTTTACCAAACAGCAAATTTTACTCAAAGACAACTAATTCTATTCGTTTTTCTAGTAAAATATAGCAAATGGATCTCTTACTATTGTTATAATTTCGTATGAAATTTGAGAAAGCTAATCGTTACTCTAACTGTTACGATTACTTTTATCCTCCCTTTGATCGTCACTAAACTGCAATAAACCAAATGCAGATCAAGTGTTTTCATGAGCAGAATATTCCTTATTCGACTATTCTGTTCGTAATGTTGAAGAAGCTCGCACCTCACTAACTCCACCCAAATACAGGTACTTTCTGAGATGGAAGCAAAATATTTATTCCGATGGATTAAAGATAAACTGGTCAATAGACGTTTCTCCATACATAACACCCTCAGTATTTTACTTCACAATATACGGTTTTAACAATGAGGTGAACATTTTAGTAGGGAATTGTATGGATTTCTCTTCTCGGTGAATCAGTCCATTCAATGTGAGTATAAATCCCGCTCTCCATATCTACGAGAAACATTGTTTCGTTTTGTCAAGACAGTTTAATCTCTGTACGTATAGTCGATTGACCGGTGTCCAATGAAATAATACTTCAGTAAATTTAACGCTACTAACTGTTTAATTCTCCCACTTTACAATAGCCAGTCAGGATGAACATGCTGTTTAATCGGAGAGACCATTGGATACAAATAGACGGTTTACAGCTTCAAATGATCGAAGGCTATTGAAGAGTACAATGAAATATCGCAAGTGCATGAGGAAAATACGAATCATTTGAAAACGATGGAGAAGTCATTTGGTTTACACTAAATGTTCAGTTTAAACTTGCGGTCTACAATAAGGTAAAATTTATTTACCCTGTTAAATGGGATCCGCTAGTTTTCAGTATATCCAACATATTGTACACCAAGATGATAAGTTTATATGCTGTAGAACTGTGCATCTGGTTATTTTGGGATTATTTTGACTGAGAGAATGCATTTGCTAATCTGTCAATGTGGCTACATAATGAAACCATTTAGTTCAAAGTAGAAGAGTAATTCTTACATAGAGCAATATAAGACGTGGAAATCAACATGAAGACCAGCTGGCACAGTTCACAAGATTAGTCAACAGAAATTCGTATTGATTAATCAATTTCCAGGAGCAATATGTTTGAAAAACATGTGATCCCAAGAAAAATGCATTGCTAATAATGCAGCCAAATATTAGTAACGATAATATGGTATAAAATATAGGTTTAGCGTGAAAGCTTTAGTTCACATTGTAAATGGTTACGGGGTTAGCGAGGCTAGCGAACATGAAATTGAACAAGTTTTAAAACTTGAATAGACTAAATAAGTAGATCGAAGTTCAAAATTTTGATTCAGAACATCAGCTACTGCATAAGATCTATTACTGAAATAATCAACACCTGAACGTAATTAATATCTTTGATATTCAATCAATTGATATTGTAAGATGATATAGTGTTACACTCCAGTTGCATTTTTCAAACCACAACATACTCTGTGCCATCAAGCTCAGCATCCGAATATTATAATTGAAGAACTCAAACCGTAGTTAATTAATTACATTTCACACAACATTCTAGTAAAATATTCGTTTTCGCGGTGAACCATGTCATAGGCTGAGTAAAAAAAATATACATGAACGTATTAAAAGCACCAGGAAAGCATGATATGATGATAGATAAGCTTATTATCACCTGATAATGACTTAAATGTTAAAAGAAGAGAGATGAAGCCGTTTTACATAGTATTCTTTGTAAATACACCTCACAATTTCAATCAACTGGTTAACACCGTTTTATATATTCATTTAGTCTTTTGAACTATTCGGATTAATATTATTATCAGTTTTATTATGAAATTAATTGGTTCTCTCCTGAAATTAGCCGAACAATCTCTGAATATATGATAGCACCAGATCACTCTGTCGTCCGAATTTGAGACTTCTCAACGCTGGATGATTATAACTTCACTTAACACCAAAACTATTAACTGCTGTTCTCACAAGCACATTATTATTACTCAATTAATGAATGGAAATCCATCGGTCATCTTTCAGTACTACAGGTAACTTCTGTATAGCACTATCACTATTTAGTGCCATCGCTAAGGTCCCAACTCAATACCGACTTGACTGACTACATGGGTTACGAATTATCATCAGTCCACATGAAATCAGGTCATCATTGAGCACATGGTTAGCATTCAGATAGACAGTTTTAAAACTGATCAATGTAAATGTGATGTGCAACAGGTAAAGATATCATAGACAGATGTGTCACTAGCCATCAACCACCATGCAAAACTGTTGACAGGCCGACATTTTCATTCTTCCCCGTTTCTATTCTATAACATATGATATATATGCTGAATGTAACAACTAAAGATATTGCCTTTAGACATGAAGTCTGATTGGTTAGTGACCAATAGATGTGAGTCTTTGTTTAATATGGTTACAAGTAATGACGTGAAAGCTATTGGCCGAAAGCCTTTCTAGATATATTTATAAGCCACTAGAAATAAATGCATAATTTATCAACTAACAACGTAATTCGAATAGATATTTCACAATATTATTCAGAACCAATCAGTTCTAATGAGAATTGTGTTATACATAAACATATGCGATTGTGAAATCCTGACTTTGAAATAACTGCATAATTCAATAGTCAGTTCGAATCACAGGGTATGGATTTCAAATTGTGTAAACTGTGTGTAATGTGTTTGGGGAATTTTTCAGTTAACAATGGAATAAGGTCTTCTGTTGAATGGAATCCAGCAGTCAGAATAGCAACAACATTCTTCACAGTCGTTTTGGCAGGAGTAATATTTTTCGGAAATCTGTTGGTGATAGTCGCATTTGCAATGACAAAAAATCTCCGGCTTGAAATCGATATGTACATTGTCTCTCTTGCAGTAGCTGATTTTCTCCTGTCAATTTTGATACTTCCACTGGCAATTGTTCGTCAACATCTCGGGTATTGGCCATTTCAGTCCAATATATTGTGTCAGTACTTCATGTCTGGTAATCTTCTGTTTTGTTTAGCTTCAGTACTCAGTCTGTGTTGCATTTCTATCGATAGATACAAAGCAGTAACTCAACCACTGAAGTACAACAGAACTCGTGGCTGCCACCGACCGTTCAGCATGTTGTTGGGTACATGGTTGTTGGCATTCACATCCGTCGCGTTACCATATATTTTTAGTTATCAACACCATTTCAGTGAGGGAGTGTGTTACTTGAACTATAATACTAGTTTCAGATTATATGTAGCTGTTTTCCTTTGGTTTATACCAATTCTGATAATTGTGTGTGTTTATTCGAAGATATATTCTGCCATAAGACGTCATTCACTACGATGTCGACAGTGGTTCAAGGTCCCCACTATCAATGTACATCAAGATCATTCACGGAAAGTTCAGAGGCAACCATCAGACACGATAATGACCTCCTACAGTAATTCAAGTAGGAAACCTCTTGTTCTTGCTAGATATTCACTTGGCAACTTTGGCATACCAATGTTCACCAAATCACTGATAGTTCGTTTCAAAATATTCTGTCGAATGTCAAACAATGATGAATTAAATGACAGTATTGATGGATTACTCAAATATCCTGGTAAAAATAAATACTCTACACAAGTGTTTGTTCATATGCATCCTCCAGTAGTAAACAAAACGAAACAAGAAATCAAACAAATGGACTACGATTTAAAGACGTCTGATCCCGTTGAACAAGACCAGGGTGAAAAAGTGACACTGCCGAATCACAGGGAAAATGAAGACACCAAAGAAAAAACCATTCCCGAACAAAACTGTCAGAATAGAGGTAGGAATGTATTGAAATCTAAATACCCAGACAATATCGACAATCTTAATAGTTGTGAACTACATTCCATTTGTGAAAATCCTCAACAGCTTGAATCTCGAAATCGTAATCTCAGTGTAGTTGATGCTAAGAATAAAGAGTTTCATCAAGCAATCCTCGTCGAAAATAATAGAAGTAAGTTCTGTCTTCCTGAACACATTCGAGATCAGACTACATTTAAGCGAGAACTGCAAACAGTAAAGGTCATGACAATAGTGGTCGGTTGTTTCCTCTTCTGTTTTTTGCCATTTCTCCTGGTACATTTAGGAGAAATCGTTTGCACGTGCATGTTTCCAGAGACTCTACATACAACACTTTCATGGTTACTATACCTCAACAGTTGCTGCAACCCATTTATTTACGCTTTTCGTAACAAGCGCTACGCGAACGCATTTCGACGACTTTTAAACGCAGAAAACTGTTGTGGAGAGATGAAACTGGTAAATTGTTAAAGGAATTATCCTTCTACAAAAAGGATGTACTTTTGCCTTAATAATAAATTTTTCCACCAGACAACACACTTGTTTTCACAGTTTAATCTTATGTTTAAGTTGTAGTGTTGCTGAAAGATTTGCCAAAGTGACAATCCAAAACTAGCTACCTAAATAGCTGGTTGACTAGATAGTCACGAACTATATTCTTTTCTGAAGTCGATGAAGTACATTCAGAGTGATAACGTTTTGAGGAAAGTTAGTATGCCAATAGAAGAATTTTATTCTACTAAGAGGGGAATCAGCGTAATAAGAAATCTGGTTCAGTGAATGTCGACAGAAATGCTTTTTATCACATATGTGGTTCCATCAACACATGAAGTAACGACTCTACTGATTAGCTGGTTTGTTTGGAAGGTGCACGATCATCCGACTTAATATCGATAATTAGCTGATCAGATTCAGAACTTTTAATTCCCAATTGGATACAAGTAAGTTCATTCAGTGACTGATCTTAAGGTGATGTATATCAACATAATAATGTCATAAGTGAATATAAGCCTAAGATTAAGTCTCACACCATAGACCTACCCATTACATGGAGTGATTAGGAGACAGATTTCAGAAATAACTACCATGGGAACATGTAAACGGTAAGTAAGTCAGATTTTTCCCAGAACTTCGTATAGCGACTGTTCTATAGGGTAAGATAAAATTTCCGAGATAATAAGTTAAATAGTGAGGAGGCACTTTCAATGTAAGTATGACTATATGATAAAAGTTCGTCAATAATGTGTACGATAATATAAGGGTGTAAAGAAGCTTACAATGTTCGAAAATTTCTTAACATTTCGATTCGAGAGCAGAAATTATACATCCAACAACATTTATACATATTATGTATATTTTCTCCTGGTCAAAATCGAGGAATATCAATCCCCTCTCATCCACTCTGATTGTAACTTCATGCTTAACTGGCTGGTGAAAGCAAGTATATTTGAATAACTGAAAACGACAGTATGTTACTTCCGTGTGTCCTAAGTAAATGTGGATAATTGCGTTATCACGCTATTATGAAACAATCCGTATGATTTAAATAGTGAAATTTAACTAAAATGGACCAAAATAAATCGATGTGCTGAAAATTTAGCCGAGTTAAAGACAAGTCAGCGAAGAAAATTCTCTTCTCAACAGTGTCATTTACTTTAGCTGTACAATCGTATGTAAAGTTAGATCATACTAATGATAGTCTGTGATAACTTAGGGGTCGATACTGTTATTTATGGACGGACCAATCAGACTTAAGAAAGCAAGTATTAGATGTTGGCACGAAACTCGTTCATCCGTATGGCTAAATATCATTTCGGAATTATAGATGATGTCAGCTCGTGATGAGAATCCTAACTCTAACTCCTACCTCTAAAGTCCAACCCTAAATATTGAATTCTTAACCACTTAGGACCAATTATTTTGACTACATGGATGACTTCGAAAGAAGATTCTGGCGAAGTAGAGCGACCACGATTTACGAAGTGTTCTAGGATTGAACTATCAACTGTCTTGTGTAATCATTTTGACAGCCAGGCAGAGTAATGCCCATAGACACGTTTTGAAACAAGATTCTTCTGAACGTCGTTTCTTTTCAGTTAGAAGAGAAATATAGTTCTCAGGTAATTAAGTACTCTATAACAAGAGATATCAATTGACTTTAAAATCGATTTCACTAGAATCGAATTACCTAAAACAAACAATCTGATTTTAAGAATTTAGAAAACGAGCCAGATGCACATTCATTCTCCTCAACAAGCTATCGGTAATCTGGTATCAATAATCCACACCATCAATGGTTTAAGAAGACTATTTCACTCATTTGACCAAACAGAAATGTGATTCCAATTGATAAGAGATGGTCTTCCAATCGTTTATGCACTGCAGATTCATCAAATTACAATTAGATTTCAGTAGTGTAGATAGACTGTTCCAATAAGCTCTGTATTAACATTTGGGCTTTTTCGAGAGAAAGTGAAATTCTCGCTCAAATAATAAATGGAACTGTTTCTGCTTGTTAATTCCTTGACAGACACATGAGCTGATCAGGGACTTTAAGTTGTTTTTGAAGATCACTAACGTTATAAACATCTTTGTGCTAACACTTATTTCCAGTTATTACAGTAAGAAGTATGACAGTAATGGGCTTCGGGAAGTTTGTAGATCATTTAGTCAACTACTAAAGAAAGCACGAATTGACTGAATTCATGATTCTGATTTATTTAACGTCAGAATTACAAGTTTAGAATTTCGCGTCAGGAAAATGAAGATATGTTACTTTGCAATTCTATCACTGTTCAATGTTATGCTGATTGATCAGTGAGTAGTGACCAAAGTCAAGTTTATCTAGTCCTCAAAACTGATTGGATTTTAATGATTAACTCTTAGTTTAGTCATTAGTCTGTGTGACTCCACATCAAATGCACCATGTTTTAATGTTAGTACGTAAGCAACTGAGGAAAACCTGAATCACATTGTTTTTGAACACATAACAGAGTACTAACCCTTTTAGTAAATGAGAAATTTACAAACTTAAGTATGTGTTGGAGAGACATATCACATTTTCCATACTGAATTTGCTTTCTTATTTCACTTTTAAATCTAGTTGTCTAGATCGCTGTTCATACAACTTGTAATATTGAGTTGTTAAGCTGCCATATTTACAGACTGACATTGACGACACATTCGTGAGAGTTTATAAGTTTTCGGCTTTTCAATATTGATAAAACTATGAGCATAAGAATTAGTGATGATAGTATTTAAAAAAACTATTTGGTATACTCAACCACTCTACTTTTATCTTGATAAACAAAAATGAAGTTCAGTAAGTCGAAGTTGTGGCAGGAGGAATCTAGTAAACAACACCAACATTTTCATATCTCCTCTATATTTTAACTTATTTCAAGTTTCTTACTGTAAAAGTGAATGCAAATAGAAGATTTAGTAGAAAACAATTGACAGATGGCTTTATCATCATGTTGTTTACACAGGTCTAAAGGTTAAATGTGATTTTTTTAGTAAATTAATTGTTTACTAAACAGAATAACCATTATGTTAAATAACTTCGCTTGACACTATGTGTAGTTGAAGCATAGTTAAGTGAATTTTTGAAGATGAAACACAGATCAGGCAATCTCATCTATGGAAATGACTGGAGGACTTTTATAACAATTATCTCAAGTGAGATTTTAGCTGAATGTAATATCAGTATCCATGAGTTGATTCCCGGATGTTGCGTTAGGTAATGAGTTGATCAACAATATGGATGAATATCTGTTCATCAATCGACACATTGTACGTTTATATCAGTAGAACTCAGAACCTTCATTAGGCTTACCAAGATTTTCAGAATTACCTGGTTATGCCTAAGTCCATGCAATAAAACCTCATCATGAATTTGGATCATATTCGAGAAAACTATGGGTAGCAATCAGTGAGTAGCGATATAAGGTCATAATTATATTAAGTGTTTTCATTTTAACCTCATAAACCAACATACTTTTAGTATGAAAATGATCATGTGCACCGAAATCACACAGAATATCTGTCAGAATGAGATGATTCACGGAAGGTAGATTTGAGATGATACTTGTTCAGTGGATGACAGGTTTCGAAATTCCATTCGTACATGGGGCATTGAACGCAATCTTATTGGTGAATGTTGACAAACTTTTTACAGTGCTCTCCTGTAACTTATACACCTCCAGCACAACTATTCGAAATAATAAACTGGTAAAACGGTACTCACTTGCTAGTGGCTATTTGATTACAAAGTCGATTTTAGACCGATATTTCTCCTCTGTGATTTGAACTCATACTGACCGATTTCTAACATAAATTCAAAGTCGCTGTTACGATGAAAGCGTCGAACCACAGCATGGTAAAAGCGATAACTTAGTAGTTACATGAAATTCATGCTACAAAATCTCAAACAACATCAGAGTAAAGTTCGAATTCACATTCAGTATAAAGTTATTTCACAACCTGCTACATACCCTAGTTATAATTAGGATAAAATCGATGATAACTGATCACAAATGTAACACACTTTAACTAGTGTTGAATGGACTTATTAACTAAACATAACGTTAGTATTTATTATAGATCTTTGGAAATACGACTATCTGTTTACCATTATCATATTACTACAAGTAACTGATAATATTCAAATTTTACTAAACATTGAAATTATGGATAATTATTCCAATCAATTTTTTGCTTGAAATGTAGTTATGTAACGCGGAATAGTTTAGTTGACATAATGTCACAAACTAAATTTGAGAAATTTTAAACTGTACTCCTTCTCTCTTGAAGTGTTATTAAATTAATATGAATAATGAACATGAAAGAATAATCTGAATTTCAGTCTTGACGGATTATATGTTAATAATAACAAATCAAATTAATATTTTCGCGATTACAAACCAAAGTAAATTAGACAAACCAAGAAAGATTGGACATCTGTTCCGTCCTAATATGGTACTCTTCAGCAGTGCCCATCCACAGAATCATCAGGGATAGGATCCAGGACATCTAAGTCTCGATGCGAGAACCTAACCCTTAGACTAATGTGCAGCCAATCAGTGGTCTACATACCTTACTTCGGTCGGTTCACGATAATACTTGTTCATTCGCATACTTGGGATGGTTGAAATTAACTAGTCACTGCTTATGCGTGATCTACATAACACACGACAATCTCTGCAAACCCCTTGACTGGCAAAATAACGTTACCCGTTATTTTAAAAAGAGCAATAGGTCAATCGACTAGGTAGATGACCAGGGCTCAGGTGAGAAAGAAATAGAATTAGAAACTATCAAATGAATATTTAAATAAGGAAACAAAATAGTGTTTGGAATTGAGATTGCCTGAATAATGACGTGATTAGAAACAGTAAACAGGTTTCGAATGATCTGTATAGCTACCTTGATCTTTCTGTACGTAAAATGTAATATCTTAATTTGTTTGATGTCAACAGAAGATACCTGTTATGCACAACAGATCAGTAACAGCAAAACGTGTCTTC